ACTTACTACCGCGGCTGAATATGCCGCGGTTCAAGAACCGCGACGTATAGTGAAAATGAACCGCGGTAAAAGCCCCTCGCTGCACTAGTGATTATTTGTACACTTCATTGCTTCCATTGCTTTAATCTTTGGTTGATGATTCTCACAAATGATGATCTTATTTCATTGTCAATTGTTTTTATCCTCTATTAGTAGGCGTTGGCAGAAACCTATAAGAGTAATTCATAAATGGTTTGAGGATTTAGAAGACCATAATTATATAATTTGACAATATATATTCTCCAACATCTGTTCTTTGCATAAACAAGTATAAGATTTAGCTTCACTTTAATTTTTTTTATAGGTAATAGGTAAGAGGCAAGATCTATCAAACATTAGGTTTACACATTATTATTTTTCAAAGATTTTTTTCATATGCACATGCTTCTTGTTTCGTATTATCATATTTCTGTATTGTATGCTACAACATATAACCTCTATTTAAATAAAATTCAGTGTATATAGGTTGAAGTAAATTCAATTGCAATTAATATCCAAGCAACACACATAAAAATAAATTAGCCTAAGAGAGTAATACAAGCAGGCAGTAAGTAGTCTATAATAAAAACAAATTAGAATTTCAATCATTAATCAATCTTCTTAAAGAGAAACAACTTACATCTTTTTTATCCAACGATGTTAGAAAAGGATCTCTCAACAACAATTGATATGGGATTCGGCGGAGGAGAATATCGGCATGGCGGAGGCGGATGCGGAGGGTGCGACGGAGGAGGAGGAGCGACGGAGGCAGCGACGATTGAGGTGGCGGAGGAGGAAGTGAACGACGCGGGGAGGGGGCCTTGTGGCAGTTTTTTTCTTGTTTCAGAGTTTGGGTTTGGGTTTGGGTTTGTGTTGTTCTTTGAATGAAGAAGGTACTTCACTAGTGGTGGGACTTTTGGGTTTGAGGAATTTGGATGATGTTGAAACGTGGTTTCTGTGTGCAGGTAATGCTCTTTTGAAGTTCAGGCAGAGAATAGTGAGTGACCCTTTTGGTGCTTTGTCAAATTGGGTGGATGATGATTCAGACCCTTGTAATTGGTTTGGAGTTGAGTGCTCAGATGGAAGAGTTGTGGCCTTGTAAGTGCTGATTTTTTTAACCCTTTTTCTCAGAAACTGTTTATTTGTAACCAATGTTGTTTTGAACAACAATTTCCTCTGTTTTGAAATTTGACTTGAGTGATTTTGTGCTCAGGAATTTGAAGGATCTCTGCCTTGAAGGAACTATGGCACCTGAGCTTGTGAAACTTATCCACATAAATTCCAGAGATTCAATATGACTGGCTAAAGAAGAAGAAAAAAATATAAAAAAGGACCCTACTGCCTCGGTTCGGGCTCCAACCAAGGCAGTAGAAGGGGAGAAACGACTTCGGTTCATCAGGAACTGAGGTATAATCCTACCATTTTATGTTTCGCTTCTGAACCGAGGTATTAAATCTACCACTTTTTACCTCTTCTGAATATGCCTCGGTTCAGGAATCGGTGCCTATCAACGAAAAAAACCGTTGTCGTTTTCCTTGACTACACTAGTGTTGTGTGGTAGTGAAAATAACGTTATTATTATAATAAGGGTAAACATATGCGTTTAATATATACGAATTTTTTAAATTTCTATAAATTATTTAAATGTTAATATAGTAATTAAAAAATGTAAAATTTAAAAAATATAAATTTGTATAGTTACATATAAATAGTTATAAATATAATTATTAATAAAATAAATTTTAGTTATTGAAATAAAAAATAGTATAATTAATATTGTATAAATAATTTTTTTATTATGGATAATTATTTAAATTTTAAAAATAAATATTAAAATGATAAAAAAATAAATAATTCTTTTGTAATAAGTAAGTAATTATTGAAATTTAAAAAAGCAAGTACTAAAATGATAAATCTATAAATAATTTTTTATTATTAATAATTATTTAAATTTAAAAAGGAATAATTAAGAAGATAAAATTAAAAAACAAAAAAAGACATAAAAAAACTATATTTTCTTTTTATATAATTATAGATAACATCTATTGTTTTTATCAAATAACAGTTATTATTATTAAATTTATCCTCCTTAACTTAATTATTGTATTATAATTTATCATTAATTAATTTATTTATTCGCTATGATTAAAAATATATTGGGAGAAAAATTGACTAATGAAAAATATAGATGTAATTATTAAAAATGCCCTGTATTATAATTAAACTAGTTTTAAATAATTTTTTATATTAAAAATTTTACATTAATTATAATTTTACTTGTAATATATCTACACACTTAAAATATCTATTATTGTAAATTTTAGTTATGTAAAGGAAATACTTTTATCACCAATTCACAGAATAAAATATTAATTATATACTTCTCCTCGTGAAAAGTCAGGCCGACATTGACTACGAACATATACCAAAGTTTAATATTTTCTTGATTTTAACTTTTATTGCATACTTTCTTTTCCTTGTTATACAAGTGAGGGAGATAAACCTACGTTAACTAGTTCACTTCCATACCCAACTATCAAAGATGATAAAAGAAATATTTGGAACATCTTTTAAAAAAATTATAAAATAAAAGTAATAATATTTTAGAAATTAAAATTCGATTATACAAAATTGAAATATAAATAAATTGTGATAAATTAATTTGAATATAAATCAAAGCTGATTCCAATGTATAAAAAAATATTTTGTTTTATTTATATTTTAAAATCTTGTATGAAAGTTCATTATTGTAGATCACAAAAGATGAATGAAAAAAAGATGATAATTCATATAGACTTGTATTCATATATATCTATTAATCATTTTTCCTTCTCCTTTATATCTTTCTTCTCTTATCATATAGTTTTATTATATTATTTTATTCTCTTTTTAGAGTAAATACATGAGGTGTTGATAAATATTTAGATTTATACGAAATATATATATTAATTAAAGAATAAGTATTGTGCAGAAATTCTAGCTAGAAGCCTAAATTTAATTGTCCTGATAAGTTCCTTTGCAACACATGGCACATGAAATACAAATCCACCGCAACCTTCTTACAGATTTCCTTCCAGTTTCTGCTTACGTTTCTCATCAGCAACTTCATCGGCGTATACTTTTCAACTCTTCAAGTGCTATATATATGTATATGTGTGTGTCAAATAAACACAAACAGCTACCTTCATATTTCATCACAGACATATAAGTGAATATCCACGAACTAAGCCATGGAGAAGAAATCAGTGGCTGGATTATGCTTCCTCTTCCTTGTTCTCTTTGTTGCTCGTAAGTCAATACTCTTATGTTCATTCTTCCGCATGATTTTATTTCTTTAGTAGTGAATACTTTATAATCGAATGTCTCTAACGAATGTATTTGAACAAGCAGAAGAAGTTGTCGTGCAGACTGAGGCAAGGACTTGCGAGAATCTGGCGAATACTTACAAGGGTCCATGCATCACCACCGGCAGCTGCGATGATCACTGCAAGAACAAAGAACACTTGAATAGTGGAAGGTGCAGGGATGATTTCCGGTGTTGGTGCACCAAAAACTGTTAACTGGATTCTCTCCAACCCGAACAAAAGAGGATGCAGGGCATTTTATAAATAAAAAACTATATATATACAATAAGCCTTCTACTGCATCTATATATCAACTTTGTACTATAGTACTACTTTCATGTCAGAACTATGTCTGTAGTCTCTGTCACTGCATAACAGCTATAAGTTATGCACTTATGTTATGAAATGAATAGTGAATAAACTTCTTATGTTGCAAAACGTCATCCTATATTCTATTCTTCTCGGTACGATCATTCTGATATTTAATTAATTTCTTTGTTTCTAGTTTTACTATATAGTGTGTCAAATGTCTTTTAAACAAGTTTTAATTTTATCCACACATGATAATAAAATTTGATTCTTAAATCCCTTCCATTAAATATGCAAAACATTGTTAAGTTTCTTTCTTTCCTCTACGCAATTTTGTTAGTGCTATTTTCGATATATTCTTACATGTTTTAAATAAAAATTTTGTACACATCAAATTTTGTGTCTGATATTACCAATACTTGCATATAGTTTTCAGTTAAATAAACAAAACTGCTTAGAAGATTTTTTTAATATAAAATATTTTCAATTTAGTTAATTAAGTTTTTAAAATCGCATTTAAATCATTCTTTTCTTTAATGTTTCTCTTAAAACTTCAATTAATTAAATAAATATAAGAATTTAAAGGCTGTGAACCAAAGAAAGAAACTAATAGAAAGTATTAATATTAATAGAGGTCAAAATGGCACACTAATATTAAAGATATATAAATAAACAATTTATCATCAAGACTCAGTTGATAAATTGCAAAATATTGCGTCATCCTACAAGCATGACAATGGGATTTAGAATACCTTTAGTAACTTTAACAGTTTGATTTTTACATATTTTCATTGCAAAAGTTGAGTTTAATAGACATACGGGTGTGGGCTGGACTCATCTTTTGTTGAGTTACAGAGAAAATATTATAATATTACATAATTTATAAATATATTAGGAACCTCGCTAAATTGTATATTGTATTCCTGTGTGTTATTCTGTTACTTTAGACCAGTTGCTTGTTTGTTAACATAACATTAGCATACAAACTATTGTAATTTTTATATGATATATAAAAACATTTTACTTTTAAATAGTTTTCATAAAACTTAATATAAATTACGCGTTATGTTTTTTAATTTTTATATCATAATATATACATATACATATATATATATATATATATATATATATATATATATATTTAAAATTTTTTATTTTGTCTATTATAATTGTACATATTTTTATAAATAATATAGAATAGTACGTAAATTTGAGAAGACTGTTGAGAAAATTTTTTAGTTTGTCTATTGTACATATTTTATAAATAATATATAATAGAACATAAATTAATGAAACATATATATTGAACTGACAAAAAAGATGAAGGTATGTTGCATTGTACCGAGAAGGAAAGGAGAGAAAAAAAAATATTAACATCGTTTTTTTTATATTTAGCGAAAGAGACTTGATTGAGATAAATTTTACTCTTTGGTTCCACTTTTGTTACTTAATCTCAATTCAGTCTCCATTTTTAAAAATATTTGGAATATGTCCACAGTAAAATTTGTGTCTTATTTGTCCCTTCCAAACGAAATTAATTCATTAATGATGTGGCACCAGTTATGTGCAACGTGTCACTATATTTATTTCTCAATGATAATATCTAAGTGACTAACGGAGAATATGATTTTTTATTAAGTTAAGGTTTTATAATTTGGGAAAAATTTGATTTTGGGCATAAATAGAACCAGTTAGGGTCTTCTCCTTTTTGTTGCGAACACGGTACAATGGTGGGTGTTCTTTTTTAAATTTGTCTTGTTCTCTTTCTTTTGTTGTTCTTTAGCGTTTGGATGTTAGTGTTGTCTGTTGGCAGTAGGGTGGTGGTTCGTCTTTGGCGAGTTGGTGTTCCCTCGTTTGTAGTTGGTTGGCGAAGTGGTTCGTGGTTCGTGGTTGTCTCGTTTTGGGGTTCACTTCTTGTGTCAATGTCTTTGAATCAAGGATGTTTGTCTTGCTCATGGGGGAGCTCTCATGGTGTACATCCAGAGGATTCGTTGGAAGCCAAATATGCCATTGTGGGGAGTTTGTTGTGTTGAGAGTGACAAAAATAGTTAAGAATGAGGGGAAGCAATTATGGGGCTGCCCTAATTACAAGGTTTATTTGTTTAATTTTTGTGATAAATTGTTCTGGTGATTAATGAAATATTAATAAAGTGAATACTTTGAACAGCGGACAACAAATGAAGAACTTAAAGGATGTAATTTCTTTAAATGGTGTATTGAAGATAATGTAGATGATGTTGCTAGTGCTATTGCTAGGAAAAGGAGGAAGATTAATAGCTTGGAGAAATATGTTATGGGTTTTCAGAGAAGGGAGAAGATGTTGATTTGGATGCTATGTTTTATGGGGTTGATTAACATCATCCTTCTTTGTATTTTGTTTAAAAGTCCATTATGTATTTTAGTAGTCAGTTGTTGTGAAGAGAACTTTGACCTTATTGTAATATGATGTTTTGAAATCAATGAGCAATCTGAATTGCATCTGAATTTATTGTTTGAATATACATTTTGTTTGATATATACAAGATAAGCTAATTGAACTTTAGATTGAAATGACAATAAAATGAGAAAGTGGTGTGTCATCCTCACTGAACGTCCACTAAATTTATGGCTTATGAATGTGCTTTGGACGAAAGCAACACCAAATCAAAAACTTTATTGTAATCACATAACATTATTGTAATCACATCATGTAAGTGTGGCGCACACAAAATCTTAGAATATGGCCAGGAAATGTCTTCCTAAAATTTGCATAAATGTGACGCACACAAAATCTGTCCTCCACACTAGGTAGAAGTTCTTGTAATACTGGCACAAGTCCCTATCAAAGTAAAAACATGAAGCTATACAACTTATAATACAAGACATGAAGGTTTCAAAGTTATAATACAAGACATGGGCAACATTACTCACTTTTTTTTTATCTAAAATATATGTGATTGTTGAAGAAAGCTCCTGACCACCAAGATCATCAATAAACAATTCTTAAAACCAAAGCCAATTGTCCTTATTCTCCACCTCAACAACAACATATGCCAAAGGACACATCTGCTCATTCCCATCTCTTGCAACCGTAGTTAACAGCTCACCTCCATATTTTCCTTTTAAGAAACAACCATCTAAACCTATAATAGGCCTACAAGACATGAAGTTGTCCGTACAGGCCTTCAAACACACATACATTTTGATCAAAAATCCCTTAGCCATGGTCAAACACTTTCAAGAGAGTAAAAGTCATCCTTAAAGATGGTGTCAACTCTACCTTGTGGACCACCATTCGAGCCATCATGAAGCATGGATTGAAGAGTAGTGTAGGAATTTAGGCCATTGTATTAGGCCATGTAGTGTAGGTTGATTTAAGGCTTGTATTAAGGCCTAAGTAGCATAGGATTTTCCTTAAAAGTTAGACATCCAAACCAAGTGAAAAGTGTGTGTCATGTGTCATGCTTCCATTGGAGAGGATTTACTTTTTAAAAGGTAGCCACATGGCACCTTAGGAGTTGAGAGTTTTTGCTTTTAGTAGTGGCCACATGGCACTCTAGGAATGGAGAGGATTGTGTTTTGTGAGTAGCCACATGTCCTCCCATCATTGGAGAGGATTTGTGGACACTTGTCCACTCCTTAGAATGCCTCATTTTTTGCCAATGAGAGCAAATGTGGGAGATCATGCTTTTAGGGTTAGAAGGAGACACCCTTGGCCTATAAATAGAGGTGTCTCCACCCTTGTATTTCATCTTTGATGTTAAGTAATGTTATGCTGCCTATTTTTGGCCATACTACTCATCTTAGATCAAGACTAGAGTAACCCATGAGGTCCCTCTAGTCACCTTCCTCTTTGAGTTGGCCTAACCTCTCTTGGAGCAACCAAATACTACACCACCACCATCATATCTCCTAGAGGCTTTGAGCTTCTACACCATTCATACATTAGCTCATCATCCTTGGACCATTTACCACCACATTTCCGCACCATTCATCAAAGGAACATCCCTCCATGCACATCTCCTAACTTTGGCTCAACCTAGCCAAGGAGGTTGCCATCACATTCTCTTGAAAATTCGATTGTCCTCATTTGGTTCAACCTTAACTTTGACAGTTGAACCATGATTAGACCGAATCAACTCGTTTGCATAGTCATAGAGTCTTCTATATTGTTCTTTAAAATCACCTTATATTTGTTTAAAAGCCATTGCTTTTGCCCTACACGTTGTAGACCGAGAAACACCAATGTTCCATTTCTTAGAAACTTTGTTTTGGAGGTTATATATATTAATATTCGGATTCTCTTTTATAGTCTTCTCTAACCTCCCACTCAACCATTTTGAAGTCATTAAATGGATGTTAAATTCGTTACTGCATGTGTGCTTGTCTATAATCTTCCTTAGCTGCCATGTATTTTTAGCTGCCTTATATGCACAGTATGCATACCATGGACATTTTCCTTTTGCCCCAAAACCTCTGACACACACCCTTCTTTTGTCATTTTTATAAAGTTTTAATTTCCTTTCATTCTCTACTCCATACGTTCTTATAGCTTCTGTAAAATCTTTTTTCTCAAGGAAATACGTACCCACTTTCCATTTATATTGTTCCATACTTTTGGCATTGAAAAAATCCCGAAATCCCCGTACCTATCTCTATCATCATTTGTGTTGTCACTTTCAACAATATTGTTCAAACTCTCAGATTCCCAATCACTTTCGAATAAACCCCTAGGTCCACCAATTTCTACTTGGTTAGTAGGTTCAAATATATCACATTCCACTTCATCTTCATCGTCATTCAAGACATCCTCTTCGGACCCATTCCAACTTGTAACATCATACTCATCAGCTTCTACATCAACCTGACCCTATCCCTCAACACCATTACCCTCTACCTCAGCCACTCACTCTACCTGAACTTGTACTTCACCTTCTACCACAGCATCTACATCCGCCACTACCTCAACTTCAACTTTTACCTCACCTTCTACCACCTTATCAACATCAGCCACTATCTCAACTTCAACTTCTACCTCACCTTCTACCACAACATCTACATCACCCATTGCCTAAACTTCAACTTCTACCTCAACTTGTACTTCTACTTCAGCCTCTACCTCAGGCTCTACATGACACACTCCCTAAACCTCTGC